CTAATGGAAAGAGGAGAGTTGATGGGTGAGATTTATTTGAGGAAGGGCAAGACTGAGGCGAGCAGATGCATGAGGCTAATGAGGGCTTTCTCTTCACAAAGTCAGCACCTCTGGACTCTGGACAGGGGGGCCCTGAGAGCAGGCGACAGGTTGCTCCTCCCCACGCCCGCTGGCACAGGCCCAGGGCCCGCTGTGCACACAAGGCACTTCAATAGAGCCTCCTGGCACCAGTGAATAAATCAACGGCAGTTGTTGAGATTCCACTATAAATGGATCTTGGACCTGAGATACCGCCAGATGGGTAGACCAGGTTACAGTCTGGTGATGCGTCTCCAAGGCTGTAAAAATGGAGCCATTTCTGGAGTCGCAGGATGACATTTCAGAAGATGATTACATGCACAATTTAACCATACGGCCATTCATGTCCTCCTAGCCCCACGGCCTTAACAACTGTTTTCACGTTGGCTTTCTTGCTTGTTCTTTTTTTCCCCAAAGTTAAGCACAATCTTTCCCCTGTCCACCCCCCTCCCCCCTGCCAGCTTCTCATCTTTCTAGCTGAATGTGATTTATTCATATGAAATTATGCTCCATTTTTATAAAACCCAAGTTACTGCAAATGAAGCTGGAGGTTTCACAGAAAATATTAATTCCCGATCTACAGCTATAAAGCATCCTGGCTCACTCTGCAGCAGCTCCGTTGCTCCGAGATGGATGGAAGCGGTCCAAGGGCATGATTAACTTCTCAGCCCTGCCAACCGCCTAGTGCCCCTCTTGCCCTGGGTTTCCAGATTGACCTCCAGTTTCTCTGCCAGTGTGCAGTGGCTTGATAAATCACTCAATCCTTTTTCTGATCACAGTTATCTACTAGTCACTAGTTAGGAAGGGAAGGTAATGGTATTCAGAGGCACTTTACATACTGTACACATACCCTCTTTTCTCCTGATAGCACTCTGCATATTCTCCACATTACCGGTGATGCGGCACCTAAGACGTGCCTTTAGAAATGACCCACTGGCCAATTAATCCCAATTCTTCTCTGCCTCTCTCTGCCCCACCCAGCACAATGATCGGTAGGAAGAAGAGATCCCTGAGAGGCACATTATAAGGAGTGGGTAAGTAAGAAGGAGCGTATCTCTTTGCAAAGGGTGGTTTTCTTGTCATTGACCGGTTTACCTTGTTGAGAACTTTGCCAACTCTTCCAGATCTTTGCCTTTCCGTTATTCGGGGGCATTGGCAGGCCTCTCTAGTAAGCCAGCTGCCTCTCAACAGCATAAAATGGACAGATGAAAAATTCTGTAGCCATCAGGAGAAAAGAACAAAACCCACCCACCCCATCTTCACACACCCTTCCCATCACTGCAGGGGGCACGGGTGAACGGGGCCAAAGCCTGTCTGGACTTGTGGAGTACTTGGGGTATTTTCGTTCAGCCATAAATTAAGCCCATCACTCAGGCAAAACCAAAGAAGGCGACAGGTTTTTCTTGGATGTTTTTTAAATTTTAGTAATGGCAATATCACAGTTTTTTGTTTATTTTTAAAATATATTTTTGGCCACCCAGTGTGTCATGTAGGTTCCTAGTTCCCTGACCAGGGATCAAACCTGCTCCCCCTTGCATTGGAAGTTCCGAGTCCTAACCACTGGACCACCGGGGAAACCCTGGCACTATTGGAGATTTAATTGATCAACACTGTGTACTGATTGGCTTTCCCGATGACTCTGCAGTAAAGAATCCACCTGCAATGCAGAAACTGCAGAAGAAACAGGTTCAATCCCTGGGTTAGGAAGATTCCCTGGAGGAGAGTATGGCAATCCACTCAAGTATTCTTGCCTGGAGAATTCCATGGACAGAGGATACTGGTGGGGTTGCAAAGAGTTGGACATGACTGAAGTGACTTAGCATGCATGCTCGTGTATTGATTACGGAGAACCCACTGAACTTTAAAGCATTATAGTCTCAACTGTCAGATGTTGGGTTTCTGCTAAAATGTCCCTGGAAACCAGGAAGCTGGAACAATGAAAAGACAGACAAGACTGACCTTCAGAAAACATTCAGATGTCCTCCACACTCTGACATTCCATGTGGATGAGATTCCCACCTGACCTTAGAAAGGAAAGAGCAAAGCCTGTCCCGTGAAGGGAGACTTTCTTACCGGGAAGCAGGGGACAACTGTCTTCCTACCGTGTAGACTCACACCCCTCCAACCCACATCGCGTAAACTACTTGATCATCAGGCTGCTCATCTTGAGGCAAAACGACTCTACTGCATCAGAGGTCCCGTGTTCACCAGCTAATGGGATGGACGTGGGATCACAAAGGGGCGAATGAGCAGGACACCTCAGTGGGACGTGGGGGCGGGACACAAACCAGACTGGGCTTCCTGTCCAACTCCCAGCTCCCAGAACTCAGGAAGCAACTGTGAAGGCCCCCAAAGTGCTTTTTCTAGATCAGAAACAAAAGTGCCTAATCATTATGGAATTTTATATCAAGAGGTGATAACGGGCTGAAAAAAAAAGTTTAGGAAACCAGAATAGTTTGCGTGAATGGATGTAGAAAAGATCACCACCAGGCCGTAAGGAGTCTGAGGTATGGGGTTAGACCTTTACTTTGGGAAGGTCACAGCCTGGGGTTTTGGGGGGATTTTTACTCAATTCCATTCCCACCCTGAGGCAGTTCTGTGACAAAAGAATTCTAGGCAAGTCATACAGCAGCTGGACCCAGAGTCACATTTCCCATTTTCTAGAAAAGGCTAGTTTATTCCACAGAAGACGTAACGTGACAGAAAACGACATCTGCCATGTGATAAGCTAGCATTCTCTAACGTAAGAAACTGGAAAACATGAGTCCAGTTAATTCAGTAGGTGTTACAAGTCCTTATTTTGAAGAAGGGTTTTTTGACTATATCTCCCAACAACTACAGATACTTCTCACTCATGGAAATACTCGTGTGGCCCTGAATTAACAGAAAACATAGAGCAGGAAAAGCACAGAGAAGCAGCTCTACACAACTCCGCTGCTAGAACAGGAGGTGGAGTCACCTCATTGCTTTGAAAGGCGCTGAGTTCCTCGCACTTTGAACAGGAAAACTGCTAGATTTAGAGGGAAATGCTCAGTTACATTTGAATATAGAGAAATTCTTAAGAAGAGCAGTGACAATGGGAACCTCTGTTTCCAGGGAATGGACTTTTTTCCTTACAGTTTCTGCACTTAGTGGTTATATAACAGCAAGGGCCAAGATTCTAACTTACAAGTCAATTAATTATTGGGCTTTAGGAGAAGTTTCTGAGAAGATCAGAAAATGTCAAAGGTACTAGTGTTGCTCATCATGAAAGTCCATACCCATCTTTTACCCAGGACAGAGTCATGTGTCTTTTGGGGAGAAGCCTTAGAATATATATACCAGTCCCAGTTTCTGATGACTTGTCTTTGTATACACAATTTCAAAGGGAATCCATACTTTTAAAAACTAGTTCTTGATTCATTCTACCAAAGGCCATAAACAGATTTTGTGTCTCTATAGTCATTTTATTGAATTATAATTGACATACCATAAAGTTCACCCATTTAAAGCATGCAATTTGGTTGTTTTTATTATATTTACTGGGTTGTGAAATCATCACCACAGTCTAATTTTACATGATTTTTATCATCCCAAAAAGAAACCCTGTCACTACTGGCAATGGCATAGCATTGTAAATTGTGGGCTTCCTCTTACTTCTCAATGTATTTTGTTGAAGGAATCACTTAAGAAGAAGAGTCAAAGAGAAAAAAGAAACATGTCGAGAAAAGGAATTAATGTGTCAGATTTTAAATGTGTTTTGATCCAGTCTCTCTCCTCCTCCTACCAACAGACTCAGAGGTGGTACAGTTACCAGCTTTTGCAAAAGTCACAGAAGCAACCCCAGAAGATGACGTGGCAGCCAGTCTTCGAGCAGACAGGCTTGTGTGGTTGTCATGGGGAAGGCTTTTCAGCTGAAGTCACAACACTGCAGCTCAGCCTGCCACCACTGAGAAGATGCTTTTCATCTATGTGCATGGATAATTCGCCTAAGTGACAGATTTTTCCTTGGAGAGGCACTGAACTGAGCTGGTTTACACAGGCAATTACAGCTCATTCCACACACACACACACACACAAAAAGAACTGGGAAGGAAAGGAGTGGGGTGATGGTAGCTAGACAATGCCAAGGTGTCTGCTAGCCTGCTGAGTGGGACGTCTCCTCCAGGTCTTTCTAACTTTGTAAGAACATCACTTGTGGAAAGAAAGAAAACAAGGCTTCGTCTTTACCACCTGATAGTTCTTTAAAACACACACACACACACACCCCTTGGCAAATGAGAAATAAAAAACCAACCCAAACCAATAAATGGTCAAGTTTACTCTAGGAAGTAACTTACTAATATCCCCACTCAACTATCTTTACACAGCCTTATAGGCAAAGCAAGATGTGAAATACAGCTTGATTATGTTTACTGATTAGGCTTCCATATCTCATTCAATAACACAAGTCAGAAAAGACAAGCCAGAGTGAGGGGTAAAAAGTCAGGCACAGAGGACTATGAACTGGGTTCCGTGCATAAAGTATTTCGAGAGAGAATCTCATCAGAAGACAGACAGCTCCTGGGGAGGTGATATGGGAACATGTCTGAAGAGAACACCCCAGAATAAATGAAGTACTTATTGTTGAAAAATGAGCTCAGATCCCAACCAATCCCAAACTTCAGAATTTACTGCACCGTTCAGGACTTTCCTTCCATGTTTCTTGTCTCCTGTTTCATTGAACAACGAAGGCTTCTCCATACTTTCTATGAAATACAACACGGCGACTTTTGCAGTAATAAACTCCACACATGCATGACAAATCGAAGCATGCAAAATGTTTAACATCCCAGTTCACAGATACTTTAGGGACAAAATCCGATTATGAATTATATGCCACAATAAATAGGGCTCAATGTTTCATACAGCAATTTATGGTTCATAAAAATGACAAAATGTACCTGTCAGACAGAGCGTGGAGGGCCGTTCTCTGGGCTGCCTGCTGGAAGAAAGGGCAGAGATGTTTGTTTAGTATTCTCGCTTTTAAATTATGTGCTCAATCAATACTTAAAAAACCCTGTGTCACCCACATTTTTTTCCAGGTGGCCAAATATGAAATTCCTAGTAACATAGTAGAGAACCCTTTTGTATTATTAGGAATATTAGGAAATGAACATTTCTGAAGTTAACTGAAGCCACCCGCTGGGCACACCTGCCACCAGGGGGCGAGCTTGAGGAGGTTGGACATGGCACCAGTCAGACCTATTTCATTTTTACTTCCTGAAATCATTTTTAACACTGTTTTATTCTAGTTTCCTGTAAGAAAAGGATCTGTTTTGGTTCCGTTGCCGTTACTTTCCCAATGAAGATATAATTTTACTCCCAGTTTTCAGATTTATTGATAAAGTCATCACAACTGGATATTGGAACACTGACTGGCTTTGAGATGACATTAGGTGATTATTGATATGTTTCAGACACAGTTAACACAATTTCTAAAGAGCCTTTCAGAGATTCGCATTGAAATATGTATGAATGTAATTACATGATGTTGGGATTTAAAATAATATAGCCGGATGGGAGAGAGAGGGGGTGGGCATATAAATGAAATGAGACAGCCTTGGGTTGATGACTCTTGAAGCTAGGTGATGAGCTCATTCAGGGAATATTACAGTATTCTGGGAAATTCTGTATGTGTTTTAAAATTTCCATAATGAAAAATTAAAAGAAAAAAGAAAACAAGGAGACCTCCACTGCTCCTTCAGATTCTCCCAGTTTTCCAGTCACTTTCCCTTTGCCTGTTCTTTTTTCTGCCCACTTGCCTTCCCCTGAATCTATGGAAGGCAGAGAGCACACTGTCTCCTCCGATGAGAAGTCACATGCGGAGGGGATCAAAGCGTGGCCTCGAAGACCAAGGCCTCCTCAGGGTCCACACAGGGGACAAGCAGTGTACATGGTCAGTCTTCACTTTTGACCCAACAGGTGTCAGAGTTTACTGTTTATCAGAGACAATAACATCTCCCATGCTCTTCTTCACAGGAAGCAGACAAAATAGAATCTTCAGATTAGAAAAAAGGACACATCAGTACCATTATCCCTATTAGAGAAATGAAAGCTACCCTTGGTGATAGTAGCATATCTGTGGATCAGTCAGATCAACACTTACTGAATTCCTACTACACAGAAGATGACTGCCCTGGGCGCTAAGGGGGACAAAGGCAAAAGCAGAAGAAGTGGTCACTGTCCTGGACAAGCTGAGCCTCCAGACAGAGAGTAAGAATGGAGGTCCAGGGACGACTTGCAGACATTGATGAGATAACATGCAAATAAAATGGTGAAGGTTGTTGTTGCATGGCAGAAGCCAGCCCAATACTGTAAAGCGATTATTCTCCAATTAAAAATAATTTTAAAAAAAAGGTGAAGGTAGGACAGCGCTAAGAAGGGGCAGACATGAGTGATGACTAATGGCTGGTGGATCTTTAGTCACTCAGTCGTGTCCGACTCTTTGTGACCCCACCGACTGTAGCCCACCAGGATTCTCTGGTAAGTGGGTTCTTATTTCCTTCTCCAGGGGATCTTCCTGACCCAGGGGTTGAACCTGGGTCTCCTGCATTGCAGGCGGATTCTTTACCGTCTGAGCCACCAGGGTTCTACAGATCCTCAAACAGTGTGTGCAGTTGTTAGCAGGTGCTCTGGGGATATCTGCAGAGGAAACGCCAATGAATACATCCCGTAGGGGATCCTTCCCACTGAACTGTGGCCCGGGGGGACGAGGCGCTGCTGGTCCCGGACTAGATGGCAGAGGAAGGGCCTGTCTGAGCCCAGCAGTGGTTCTCACCTGGGCTCCCCTCTCCCAGTGCCAAGAGCGTCCAGAATTGAGCTGGAGGTGTTTCTCTGTGTCACACTCATGAGGGGTTCACTACTGGCATTTAGCGCCTGCCCTGAGGGTGCTAACTGCTTTCAAAAGTCAGGGGCGACCCTCGTAGGATCAGAAACTCTCCCCTTAAAATGACAAGGGTGTCTCCGTGGAGACACGGCAGCAAAGTAGGAATGAAAGGCAGATTTCAAAGGAAGAGCCCAGGGAACATGAGCTCGGGGGCTGAGCACCAGGAACGGAAAATAAGATGAGAAACTTAGATAAGTCTACAAGGGACACAGCCCCAGTGAGTCAGAAAAAAACATCACATCTGTTGAACTGGGGATGGAGAGTCTTATGCCCTGGGACAGGCTCTGCCTTTCATTTATATTATGGACCTGTATTCTGGTCCTCAACCCAGACCTTGGTTTTCAAATGACCCTTACCCTCCCCGAATGGATGCTGAGGGAGCCAGTCGAGGTCCAGGTCCTGGGGACAATCCACGGGGCAGCTGCCCCTTCCTCCCTTCCTGGATTCCAGGGAGTGAAAGCCTGAGTGTCCTGGTATTCTAGGGTCATGTCATCCATTCAAGACAGGAAACAAGAATGTGTGCTGTGCTTTCTCTTCATGGGGACACGTGAGGGAGCGGAATGAGGTAGGGGGGAGAGGTGAGAGGCTGGCCGAAGGTCTGGAGTCCCGGCTCCCCCTGGGACACCTCAGAGGACGCACATCCTTTCCCCTCCTCTCTCTCCTTCCTCTGGAGGGCCGCCCCAGGAGCACATTGACAGATCACCCAGCTAGTGCCAGGCAGCCACCGCTGTTCCCTGGTTTGTCTCCTAAGGGGGTCTCTCCTCACTCAGCAAGATGGCCTGCATGTTGGAAGGTATCCCTGTAAAGAACTTCACTCTCTACTCCTGATTCTGTTTGGCTAAGTATACAAAAAGCATCTGGAACTCCCCAGAGGAAAGATGGCACACATTATTAGCACAGTCTCTCCACATCGTCTCAGTAGGAGGCATTGGAGATGGACTCTTCCTAGAATAACAAAAATCACAGGAGATACCACTGAAAGTTCAACAGAAATCTCTCTCATGGCATCTGAATTTTCCTCCAGCCCTGGATGTCCATTTTTTAAAAAAGTCTATTGATTCCTTTCTCTCCTGCCTGCAAATACTTCCCATTGGCTTTTGTGATAAGGAAAACACAGCGCTTGTTGATATGCAATCTATAAGAAGATGACTTAAGAAGCAAAAGCAAAGCAAAACAAACCCCCAACAGAAAACTCAGATGCTCATCACTAGAATACCTATGAATGGATGCTTCCCAGGTGGTAGTACCTGCTGAGAATAACTCAGTAGGACTGATGTGGGCGAGGCCTCTAATGCAAGCTGAGCTGAAGCCGGGAACAAGGGCTGCTTTCCTTTAGCAGACAGACGTGACCCTGGGACCAAGAGGTCCTTCTAGGCTTAGACATCATGCACCTAACCAGTCACTCTGCAGTCTGTCCACACAACTGCCTGCACCACAATTTTTAATGCCTGCTTTTGATTGTGCTATTTAATTTGTAGTTATTCTCCATCATTAAAAAGTTAACAGAAGATGGCTCATCATCCATCAAGAAAGGAGATGAGAATATATTAAATGTTTTAAATAACTCCTTGAGGAAAAAAAGCTTATGGCATTAAAACTCTATGTTATATGCCAGAGCAAAGACCACCAACTTTTTTTTTTACTGCATTAAACTTTGGCAGTTGCATACTATTTATTTTATTTTACTGTTGGAAAATAATAAAATAAATAAACATTGGAATTAAACAGCACAGAAAAATTACTTAGGTGACTCATGATTGAAGCCTGAAAAACTACTCATAGTAAACTAGATGAATTGCCCACTTTCGTTTTCTTAAGACTTGTACGTTACAGCAACCGTATTTCTCTCTTCCTAAATCATCTTCTCTTGTAACTTTCTTTTTATTCTGCTCTCAGCAGAATAGATTGAGAGGGTTAAGAGCATGCATCATTGATCTTTCCTGATTTCATTACTCATTCATGAATGACTCTGAAGGGTAAGTCTATGAGTCAAAACAAATTTTCTGCCAGAAATAATCATTTTCCAGGTTCTCTTCAAGAGATGACATCTTTTCTCTGTCTTTATTATAGTAAGCTGGTGCTTGGGAGCCTAATCAGTAGACTTGCAGGTTTCAATGTACACTAGATGAGTTACCAGTCACAATCTGTTATCGACGGGAAGTTAAAGAGGAAATTAAGTGCTCTTACTGTCACTGGGTTGAGTGGTGAACAAGTTCATGGATACTGGAGTGGGGAGAAAACAAAGGGAAAAGACTGGAATTCAGAGAGGTCTCAGCATGATCCAGTTTCTTTCTTAATGACAGAAACAGAACTAACATGTGAGTAGTACTGTAAAGCAATCTGATGTAACTGTTATGTGCAGGTACTGGGCTTGGCTTGGGTGACAGTCAAAATAGACAAAGCTTTTGCAACACTGTACTTGGAATCTCCAGGTGAGCCAGACGCAAACGGTCAAACACACAGAAGCATTCTAATGACGAGGGCTATGACCGAAGGGGATAGGAGCTGTGAACCAGAATGTGAAGGGTCCTTGTTTGGGATGAATGTACAAGGAAGCCTCTCTAAGCAGGGGTAACATGACTGAATAAGAAAAACACAAATGCAGAAGGAGGAAGGGACAACTGTGTAGTAGCAGAGGCCCGAGGCAGGCCTGCATCCCTGCTCAGCTGAGGAGCTACAGCAAGGTTGCTGTCAGGCGCGTTAGTGAGCGGTGGGGACAGCAGCAGGTCTCAAGGGTTGTGCAGGGCGGGTTAAGGATTTTGGACATTATCCACAGCAACATGAAGTCACTGAAAGGTTTACATGAGGGGAAGCTGAGAGAAGGGTGTGTGGGACCTTCTTGTACATTATTTGCAACTTCCGGTGAATCTATAATTTAAAGAAAAAAAGAGTAGGGAGAAAGGCAATATGACCTACACTTTTCAAATACCCCTCTGCCTTTTGTGTGGCAAATGGATTGGGAGAGGAAGGGACAAAGTTGAAGGTCACTTGCAGTGCTCTAGCAAGAGAAGTGCATGGAAGCAGTGGAGATGGAGAGAGTTCATGTTACATTTTGG